AAGGTAGACCCCAGTACATCGGCTGCCCATTTTTGCACTGGGCACACTTAGAGGAAGGTAGACCCCAGTACATCGGCTGCCCATTTTTGCACTGGTATGGAAATTGCAGTTTCTACAAAGGGATAGCAAACAGTTGGTGTAGCTGGGTGGAAACAGCAGGAGAGTCAGACGGGGAGGGGGCCTTTCCGGGTTTTAGTCTATGACTCACTGTTTGACTCCCAGCAGGTAACTTCCTCCTTTATTCCACCATAAAAGGACTTAGCAGGGTTGTTTACAAAGATTCCAAACCCAAATCTCAGAGTGGACAAGGAAAAGGTTGTTTGTTTTGCCTGCTCTTGGCCACAAAGCAAAGTAACTGAGTTGTTCAACAAGCATGATCTGAAGATAACAGGACATCCGAGACTCACTGCTAGTGCAACTTCCATAAAAATTCACACTCTTGTGATTGCCATTTTCATTTCTAAACAATCATTTTCTTTCATGAGATTGTTTTATTGTTTCCTTTTTCTTTTTCTTTCTTTCTTCTTCTTTTTTTTTTTTTTGTATATCAAAAGCCTCCCAGGGCTATCTAAACACACCTTGATCTTACAAGCATTTGTCAGGAGGTATTCTTACTTTAGTTTAATTTCAAAAGAAAATACCCTTATACCCAGAACCCTTTGTTGTGCCTATCTGGGGTCAGGGGTGAATCAAACTGAGGAAGACAGCTCTCATTCCACAAAGGCCTGGGAGCCACGCCCCGGGTCCAGGCACTGTCCAGCCCAGGGCACCTGCCCACGTCCATAAAGAGCCCTTTGTCTCTCTTCCCCTTCCAGTTTATACTTTTCCTGGACTGAGTTAGATTTTTTTGCATTCTCTCTTCTAAGATAGAAGTTAAGGGGTCCCCCTCCCCCAGTGAAGGGTCTTTAAGGACAGAAGGATGTGAAATCATTGTGGATTTGATCCTGTTTTGCAAGGAGGGAAGGTGGCATAGACCAGGTACTCAGAATAAGTCTCAATCTTCATGGAAACTTCCTTCTCATTTGCTTTCATCTGACAAGTTTGTATTGAGTTCTCTGCTAGGCCTTTCCCCTCCCCCCTTCACATACAGTCAGCTATCACATTGCATTGACTCAACTTCTCCAAACAGCTCCTCATTTATCCCCTTTTCTATCTATACTTATTGTCACAGCCTTAAGCCAACAGCCCCTTACCCACTCCATGATCTGAAGAATCTTCTAAACAGTCTTTCTGTCTCTGATCTGTCCTTGTGCTGTTATACATGAGAGAGTCGGTCCTGCTTACTCTCTAATTTATATGGGTCTGAGTCTATGGTGATGGATGAGACAGACAGGTGAAAGAGCTTCGAACTCTGGCGTCCTCATTTATTTTAGCCACTAGATGGCATCCTCCTCTCTTCCAGATGTCTCCTAAGAGTTCCCTATCCCTTACTTAAGCTGGGCGCTAGTCTTGGGGATCTAAGCACACCGTGGGATCTCTGCAGTAGACTATTGCCCACCCTTCTGCACAGCCATGCCACGCGCTGTGCAGGCGATGATCCGCAAAGGGACAGATACTCAGATGATGGGAGGAGTGGCAGCTCTGCTCCTTGGTGTAGGACGATCTGGAGATGAAGCTATGTCCTTTCCCTAACTGGCTCTGCCAGTACTATTGGGCCTGGCAGCCCTGCACCCAGCCCGTTTGCTGTCCCTAGTCCTCTGATCTCCACATGTTCCATTGCTGGAGGCAAGCTAGAATAGTGCGTCTTAAGAAAGACCTAGAGGTGAGAGACCAGCTTCGTTGTCTTCAGACATCAGGTCAATGGGACGCTGGTCTCCTAGGGCTTGAGAGCACCCCGACAAAGCAGACTGGCATCCCTGGAAATATTGCTGAGCCTTGATTCTGACAGCAGGACCCCTCGGAACTCGTCTATGCCATAGAATAGGTCTATGCCACCCCCTCCCTGCATTCAGGAGCAGGCCAGCCTGGGAGCTGAAACCCCTGGGTTCTAATTCTAGATCCACCAATGATAGTGGGTCAGTTGTCTCTGTTGGCTGTGGCCTAATTTCCCCATGTGTCAACAGGGATAATCTCTGCTGCTTCCTCTTCCCAGAGGGGTAAGTGTACTCTGTATTGTCAAGGGGGGTGGGGGGCGGGCAGGAACTGGTGAGCTTAACTGTGTCAAGAATTGAGACTTTCCTAGAGGAAACAGGAAGAATGTTGTTGTTTACCTGGGAGGCCAGGCCAGGCCCCGTCTGCGGGAGGAGGAGAGAGCTTTGTTGCTGTGGAAAGGGGAGAAGATTTGGCTGCAGACCTGGGTGAAAGGGGAGGGACAAAGGAACAAATGAATAAAATCCAGGCCATGTGAAGACATGATCTACAACTCTGGAGCCATGATAACTGTCCCCACCCCCTGCTACCTAATCAGGTCCCTCAACCCATCTCGAGCCCAAGAGGCCCCCAGGGGCACTGCCAGTCATTGCCACACTTAGGCGGAGGCGAATCAGACACAGGGATAAACATGTAAACAGCAGTCCCCAAACCAGTCCTTCTGCTTGCCTGCCTGTCTGGTGCACAGGCTGAGGAAGGTCAAGGCCATCGATGCTGGGAGCTCATTATCAGACTGAAGAAACCCAAGAAGGAAGGCGGTGGGGGGGCGGGGAGGGTGATCAGTAGGAATTCAAGCTGGAGCAGAGGGTTTCCATTTTGTCCATAGAGATAGCTGGGTGGCTCCTTAGGCCTCACCAAAGCTGCAAGCATGTGGGGCCAAACAGATGAGGCCATCCAGCTCGAAAAGACAGTGGGCCGAGTGCCAGAGGCTCTTGGAAGAACCAGGACATTTTGCACTTGGAAGGAAGGGCTGGGAGGGAGGAAGGAGCAGAGGCCAAGCTTCTAGAAGCTCTGTCTGGCCGTATGGTCTACCCACCGCTGCTGGTTGAATTGTTCAAGCACCTCTTCAACTTCCCACTCCAGGGAAGTTGTTCATGAGATGCTCTGCCTGGCTGGTGGTCACGACAGTGGCCCCGTCGATGAGAGTTCCTCAGCCGGGAACTCTCAGTCAGTGCAGAAAGGGGGCATCAAAGTGCCAAAGCATACAAGAGCAGGGTTGTCCCCATCAGGGCACAGAGCAGAACTGTCCTCTGTGTCTCTGCTGTCCCCAAGCGGTTTTGATACTAACCTTCATGCTCCTCAATCTACAAAAGTCAGGGCTCAAGTTTTCCTTATTAAATAGACAAGAAAGCTCTTACAAAGAACCCTGGGCTGGGAGTCTGGAGGCCTGAATACTAATAATCTAGCATTATTGCATTGCACTGTGTACAAAACCTTTTCACATGCATTACCTCAAATAACTCTCCATGACCTTGGGAGGGAGGATTTTCTCTTATCCCACTTTTACTAAGGAGGAAATGCAAGCTCAGAGAGGTGAGGTAAAAGTTTCCCAAGGATCCACAGCTAGGAAGTGATTTCTCTTTCCTAACCAACGAGTTTCCTTGGATTCTAATTTCTTCTCACCCTCTGCATCAGATGTTGAATCACTGGTTATAAACCTGGGCCATTTTCCAGCACTCTCCAGTCTTCCAAAAAGAAACTGAATTTTAACTGTTATCTTCCCTTTCTTGCTCTAGGAGTATGATTTGAATGTGACATGAATTTAGTTAGCTAAAATAAATACTGAAAAGCCCAGATATGTTTCATTCATCAGCACGGTGTTCAGAGAAACTCTGGAAATTAAAGATAGAAACAGGTGCTAAGAAGTCAGAGTTAGGTTTTGTTTGGATTCTGGATTTTCAGAGCCCCCATTTGGAATCCATACAGTAGAAGGAGCTTAAACTTCCTCCCTCACCTTTGGTCCCACTTGGTGGAGATAGGGGCGAGAGGGAGCATTGTGAGATGGTCAAGAGCATGGATTTCAGATAGAATATTCTGGAGCTTTCAAGTGGGTCACCAGAGATACAATAAATATGACTTCCTGTCACATGTGGTTATTTTTAAAAATGTCAGAAAAATCACTCAGCAGAGATCCTGGCACAACAGGCTCAAGAGATGTCTTGTTATGAATATTCTAATCTGTTTGCTTTTGGCCCAGAAGTTCTCTGGTCGTAGTAACTTTCCTGCCAAAGAAAACCTGAAAACCTTCTTTTCCGCCGGTGGGTGGCACTGCCACTCTACCCAAATACAGTCTCAGTCAAATTTCCCGAAGGTAAAAGAGTGAATTTGTGTCTGAGAGATTTCCAAGGAATTGGACTTGTCTGCACAGTGGCCCAAGGAGTTCCTCCTTCCTTGCCCCCCGCCACCACCACCCCAAGCCCCCCACCACCTTCAGTCTCTCTCCAAGATATGGAGGGAGCAGGGAGGGAAAGCAGAGAAGGAGACTCAGCCTGGAGAGGGCAATTCCAGGGTCCTTTCCACACCCTGCACTTTGTTGGCGGCATTTCCCTGGACCCTTCCATGGAAAAAAAACCCTGGTTCTTACCTTGCTGCCCAGGCTGGGTCTGAGATAGCAGGAACTGGGAGACAGACTGTAGGTGGCCAGGAACCAACACAAGCTGCTGGAGTGGATGAAGGGAAGTCATGTCCTGCACGGAAGACATGGACATCACAACTTACACGTGTCGGTGTGGCTCTGTCTGCCTGCTGCCCCTCTCCTCCAGAGAGCTGAGTGTTTGCAGACAGTGATCTTACCACTAGCCTGTGTCTCCCCGGTGCCTGGCATGTAGCTGCTGTGCCAGTGGGACTGGTGGTGTTCTATCTCTTGCATTCAGCCAAGTTTGACACCTGGTTCACCTAAACCTCACCTTGCTATTCATTTTTGTGTGTGTCAGTCTCATCTCCCAACTAGAAATGTCCTGAGGACACAGACTAGGAGTTACCCATGTCTTAGAGGCTTATCCTAGAAATGACATGCTATCCCAAGTGTCCTTTGAAAAAAAATTTTCATGCCATTTCATTATGCTAAAAGCCATGTCACTTGGCCCCTTCCTGGACATAAACCTTTCCTCAAGGAAGGAACTAGTTACCAGCTCTTAATAAAGCCCATTTGATTAACCAGAAAATCCTTTTCCCCAAGGCTTCTCCCAACAGTGCAGGAAACAGGAATGCTAAGTCAATACTTAGGGGCTCTGGGAGTCCTTGCACCCCCTTGAGACTGTTTACATCTGTGCATGAAGGGGAGACTTGGGGAACCCTTGCTGAATGCACATGTAAGGTATGAAGGCACATGCTAGTCCCAAGTATTTCTGGAAAAGGGGAGGCTTCTCTTTCCTCAGATGACCCAGCCCAAGAAGGAGGCTTCAGACATGTTCTCCCTTCTCAGCCATTTGCTAAGTTTCAGGAGGCCTCCTTCCTCCCACCAGGCACTCCCTTGTAGTTTGATTTTTGACATAAAGTCCTTTCTGCCCATCGGGGACAGAAAGGCTCTTGAACTAGAGCAGCCCTGTCATCCCAGGGCTCCCCTGGATGCAGCGAGGGGTCACCAGCCCCACGGCTGGTAGTGCCATCATTCTGTAAGGGGGCTCCTTTTGCTCCTTGACCGGTGGAGACCTCCTTCTCACATCACCAGTCAGCTGTCCCTTTAAAAGGAACCCCTCTCCTACCTCAGGCCTCTGAGTCTCATTCTCCCACTCCCTGCAGGGGTTCTGTGGACCACTCTGGATTCACTATGTGCCCAGGCTAGAGGGTGAGCATGTTGTCGAAGGTTGCTTTGCACTCACTGGCCTATTGGGAATAGCAGGGAGGGCATTTACCCCAGACATTTGGTTTCCGGACATCATGGCAGGCCCTTGGGTCAGGTGGCATGGCCGGTGGGGGAGGGTCTGCTGCAGGGAGTCACTGAGGTCCTCGGTTTTAATCTGTAAGTGGAGGCAGTCAGAGATGTCAGTGCCAGCTGTCCCTAGACCAGGCCAAGATCAAGGCGGGAGGTAGGTGACGCGATGGGACAGACATGAGCTACCCCAGTGCCATGTGGGTGGCAGCAGGATTTTCCTACCGTGTGTGTCCAGCAGGTAAGGGACAGTGGTGAGTGGCATCGTGAATACCAACCTGCAAAGTGGGGCATCCACTTAGACTGGTCGTCCTGAACGCTGTTCTGTGGCTGCACATATAATGCAATTTCCTCATTCTCGTCGCAATGAGAAAAATACGGATGGAGTTGAGGTTTTAAAAGTGGTCACCTCTGAGATGATTTTTGGGGGTTGGAAGCTTCTTAAATTTTTCTTTTATGAAATGCTGTTTAACTTCTCCCCCAGCCCCCCAGAGTAAAAACTGGACAATCCTTTATTGGTTCCCCCATATTGTTTTTCACTTTTATGGTCCAGGAAACCCCAAAGTCTAGGATTAACCCCACCACCACCACCGCCCCGTTCTTGTTTTCCACACTTCTCCACGCTGGGTGCTGAGCTGCCTCTGTAGCTGGCCTGCTTGGCCCGCGAGGCTTGGTGGCAGTCCCTGACTGTCTCCCTACAGGCTGGGACATGTTTTCCTCACACTCTGCAGCAGTTGCAGCCTGAGGGGCCTGTGGTGGTTTCCAAGCTCTCTCCAGCCTCTACCGCCCTCCAGGGACAGCACCAGCCACCCACTCGTGAGTTCCCCAGGTGTCCAAGGGCAGGGCAGCGAGGCTACCTCTGTGCCCACTCTCCCTCCTGCCCCAAACAACTACCTGCTCACAGATTTTCAGGAAGTCTCTGCTGGGGAGGGAGATGCTATGTGACTTTGAATTCACATAAAATGGCCAGGAGCACAGGGAATAACGCACCTTACAGAGACACTGGAGAAACCCTCTGGTGGAGACCTTGGTCATGAAGACCTTGGCTTAACTTATTTTCTTCTTGGTCTATGCAGGGAATGCCACTGACACCTTGGAGTCTCTCCTGCCAGTATTAGTTTTTTTTTTTTTTAATTTGTTTATTTTTGAGCTGGGATATAGGCCAGAGGTACGGGGTGGTGGGAGGATTCACCAGAGACAGAGTGGGGAGCCGAGTGGCTGAAATACACTGCTGAGGGGAGCAGTGGGCGAGACAGGAGAGGTCTGCTGAGCCAAGTGGGTCAGCTCCCTGGCTGGGGATTGAACTTAGGGATGGAACTTGAGCTGCACTGGCTGTGTATAGCTTCATAGTGCTGAGACTTAACCCCTTGCGCCACCAGGGAGGCCCTCTCCTGTCAGTATTTGTTTAACTCAAGTTAAAGGTTCAGATGAACAGCTACCCTTATGCTTAATCTCTGTGGGAAAATAGTGCTTTGGATCACTAAAGAGATTTCCGTTTGCTGAGAGAGTTAGGACTGTCCCACTGAGGCAGGAGCTGATGTCCTAAACACGGTGCCTTGCCAAAAGTGGGAACTCAGTGCGTGTTAATTGAATAAGAGACATAAACAGATCTTATCTCTCTTAAGTCTGTAGCGGCAAAGTGAGAACAAGCAGGGGACCAGTCCTGGGTTTTCAGTCCTAACTGACTCACTCGCGATGCAACCAGAGCAATCGTTTCTGGTCTATGACACTCAGTTTCTCCAATCTGCTATATAATTCTGCTCATTTCTTCAACTATCAAGTGGAATTATAGGTTCCACTTCTACAGGGAGTTCCTTCCACGTGGGCCAGGAGGCCACAGTGTCCCACAGAAAGCGACTGAAATAGCACCGGAAGCCGGCTGCACAGATAATGGTGAGGGGATATTTCAGGGATGGTCTTTATAAACCATTCCTCTCTCTTCTCCTTTGGCCTAACAAGGCTGTTCTGGAGTGTTGGAAGCAAAAAGAAGGAAGGGAGAGAGAAGGGAGAAGCCCCACGGGGCAGAGTTAGAATGTCAGAACACTCCAAAGGCATGGCCACCGGGAGTGGTCTCCAGGAAAACCCCAATCCCTGCCCCCACACCTTCAGCTCTTCCCACCCACGCTTGGCATCTCCATCTAAGAAACTCCGCTGTCCCACTTCTTCCCCCAGAAGCTAGAGCTTTCATATCCTAGATTTTGGAAAACATTTGTTTGCTGGTTTTCTGTAAAAAGCGAGAAATAGATGATAAAGGCCTTATTTATTTTAAAGTACCGCCACCCACTTTAAGTGTACTCTTGGGCGGAGATTTACTGAAGCAACGCCTTTGGGGTCAGTCTCCCCTCCCCACACCTCCTTTCTAGAGTCCCCCTCCTGGCTCCAGAGCATCCTTCGTCCTGGGTGGGGGGGAATAGGTGAGACAGGATGGAGGAAGGGGGACAGAGAGAGGTGGAAACTTGGAGCTGAAGCTAGGCTGCTGGAACCACCCCAGGCAGCTTGGCCAGGCTCCAGCTCGGAGGCAAGTGGCAGGGTTCCTTTATAGACTCATTATGCGCAATGGGGAGATAAGAAGGTGCAGCTATGACAGAGCTTGAAAACATGTGCTTTGCCTCCAACCCAGGCGCTATCTGTTAGAATCAATGCCAGGTCTTCCTGCAACACTTAATTTCAGAAACCAGCACCATCATAAAAGAAAACTCACCCTTTCATCTACTTCCTGGATCAATTGCCCTCCAAACGCTTTTAGGGGTACGTCGACCTCCTAGTCTGAAAATAAAGTGCCCCTTAACTGAAAATTCCTTTGGGGATTAATCTGGGGCTTTCTTCGAACCTTTTATTCCATTATGTTTTTCCATACTTCATCACCCCCTGGGTGGGTGGTGTTGATAATACCTGCCCCCTAGCCTCCAAAAGAATTCTTTTTTTATTTATGCACCCAAGAACTGGGGTACAGGCCAGAGGTGCAGGGTGTGAGAGGATTCAACAGAGACAGAGTGGGGAGCAGAACAGGCAGATCTACTGAAATACACTGCTGCGGGGAGCAGCGGAGAGACAAAAGGTTCAGTGCCAAGTGGGTCAGCTCCTTGGTGGGGGCTCAAACTCATATTGCAGTGGCTGGCGATAGCTTGATAGCGCTAACACTTAACCTCTGCACCACCAGGGAGGTCCCCCCAAAACAATTTAAGACAAAGCTGACTGAAAGATCTTAAAGGAGACTTTGTTTTCTATGACAAATTCTAAAATTTCAGTTGTGGCCAGAGAGTCTCAGAAAAGAGCAGAGCTGAACTAGGAAGCAGAGATGATACAGCAACACCTACTGCCTCCAGCACACTTCTCCCACCAGTTCTCTGAGAGTCTGGGGGCGTAAGAAACTAAGGAATTAAGAAATGAAGTCTTTCCCAAATCAAAAAATCCTTTTCACAGCTGTCGAAGGGAAACGTTTGGAACCTGTCCAGGCCACTGGGTGTTGGCTGTGGATTTGGAAGATGAGATAGAGAGACTTCTGTGGGACCCCTTGGACTTGTAATGTGAGAACCGGAGGCAAATTGGATGAAAACCCAATTTCCCCTGTACTTGTGAAAACCCAACCAAACCCACAGCCTGCCTGGAAGATTGTCTCTAGGGTCCATCCCTTGGGCGGACCTTCTCACGCAAGTGGAATATTTCTTCAGGCTCTGCTTGGGATGGACTAATCCCTGGAGACATGGTCACCCCAGAGGGCTCTGCCTGTCATAGACATTGATTATCCCATGCATCTATCACACAAAGTTTATTAGTTTAGGATCTTCTCCGCCCACTAAGCTGTGCAAAGGTATTACATGGAGTCTTGGGCAGTGACCAGAGAGGTAAAGAGCTATCGCAGGTGATTATCTTCTCTAATCCCAGTGAACTCCCTGACATCACCTACTTTAGAAAGCAGTGGCCTCCTTCTGGGAAGAGAGGGCCCCTTTTGATGACCTGGGAGCATTCATACATTCCTCCCTTGGCTTCACCTCCCAGTCAGGGGGTGGGGGACAAGTGTTTATTTTCCCACCTCACAGAGGCCCACAGAGCTTTGGAGATGGGTTAAAGACACATAAAAAGGTATTGCAAACACCTTGACCATCCCCTGGTGCTCTGTCTACAAAACATTACACTACTACAAGCCTCCTGTGCCAGAGATAGGAGAGAAAATAGACCGTAGGTGCTGGAAAAGGCGGGGCTCTGGCCCAGACATAAACTCAGTCCTATATATGAACCAACTATTTTGGGGTCATGGGATAGGTTTGGTGAGGCTAGGGTGCTCACCTTAGCCCCCTCCCCGTGACTTGTTCACAGGGCGCTCTCGGGGGGCAAACAGCCCAGCACTAATGAATATATCACTGGCGATGAAAACGATCAAAGCTGTGTCCCAGTTGCATAACTCGTTTGTGGAAAGTGTTTCATAAACATTTCACAAGAAGGAGAATTTCAAAGCATGAACATCTCCCAACCTGCCTTCAATTACAGGCAAGATTTTTTTCTTTCTCCCCCCTGCTTTTCCCTAGCAGTGAGGAAGAGTTTCTGTTTTGTAACTGATCTCTGAAAGGTTGGCAAATGCGTTGCCAACACATTTAGGATATTTTCGAAAATATCCTAAAAATATATCCTATGTAGCAGGATGGGGCACACAGGTAGTTCACCTCAGGTGAAGGAGGCTGAAGGGTCCCTCAAGAGATGTTGGCTCTATTTCCTCCTTTCTTCCCATGGTGCCTGGCTGCTCCCCATGAGTCCAAGGCTCTGCTTCTTTGGATGCCTTGAGGAAGTGCTTGAAAACATGGCCCCCTCCAGCCCTGGTTTCTAGTCAGCCCTATGACAGGCCAGCCCAGAGGCACCTTTGCCAGGGTGCAATGTCATTTCTCCCTGACAGCATCCAATTTCTAGGTAAAAGAGGGGTGGAAGAGAGGAGGCAAGGGGCTCTTTAATAAACGAAAAGCTTCTTAGGAGGCTCAGGTCACTTTTTTCCTCCTAAAAAGAAACTCTGAAGAGGTATCTATGTTTCTCCTGCTTGCATCTACTTTGGAAATGCGACAAGCTTATCAGTCATGTTATTTAATGCCTTGGCTTCAG